ATCATTAAAAAAAATTTACATATACCAATCAATATATGACATTAATTAGTTTTGATTTTCTTAGAATGTCGCACACCTCAGTAATACATAATTAATTTCATAATTACATTTTTAATTATGCCATAAAGGTTAATCTGTAATCCTGTGATACAACAATCTTTTAGAAATATCTATACATTCATCCTGAAAAATAAAAAAAAAATTACTTATTACTTGACAACCAAATACAACAATTTTCATATAATCCTCTGGTGATAAGCCAGTGAATGTTTTTATTATTCTGTTGATCATGTCATGCATTTCAACCATAAGTTTTAATTTATCTATCCATATTTTTTTTGGGCATCCTGCTGGAAGTCTTCCTGAAACTTCACATATAAAGCTGGTCCTGTTGGCAAAGTAATAATTAAATCAGTTTTTTGTCTGACATGTGCACAATCATTATTGGGATCTTGGTCAACTCTACGCCTTTCTTGACTTGCTACTAATTGTTTTTCACACCTGAAAATCAAAAAATAAAATGTTAAAATGAAATTAATAACACATAATCTGAACCTTTGAAAAATTACCAAAGTTTTGAAACTTCTCCTGGTTTTGGTCAACACCCATTCTAAAAACAGGAGCAACAATGTGAGTCATAAGCTCTCCATTTATCTGCAATTTAAGGTTCCCAAAGGTATGATTTTAGTAAAGTGTGCATGTAATATTAGTGTCCTTTGTTGTGCCTCTGAATCCTATTCAATTAAGGATACTGGTTGCAAGTTTTGATGATGGTTGCTACCACCTTTGCATCATATAAAAATGATTGCAACCACTGGTTGCAACTGTCTTTAGGACCATTTTGTTTCCTTTTTTGGATTGTGACATGGAACACTATATATTCAATAAAAAATTTCATATAATTAATGAAATGAAATAAAGGTAATGACTAACTAAACAATAAAACTATCACTGTTATTACCTCAATATTGTCAAAAAAGTTTATTTCGAACTGGTCAAGCTCTACCATTTTCCATGCTATATCTAATTGGAAATTATTCAAGAGTTCTTCCCATTTTGAAGTAGTTGGCTCGTTTTATTCTTAAATATTTCCCATTTAAGTAGAAAATAAGGATGTCAGTATACCCTTAAAACATACTCATTTCCTACTTGAATGTTACTCATTTTTAATTGTTGTATTTTCAAAATTAATAGTATATAAACAATTATTTTATTTATTTAAAAAGACCATTTTTTATTTTTAAATATGAAAAATACAAATATTTTCTATTTAATATTATAATGTAATATAATGTAATAATAATGTAATAATAATAATAAATATAATGATTTTCTTTTGAAAGAGAAAAGTAATCAATATTATAATGTAATATAGTAATAATGTAATATAATAATAATATATATAGTGATTTTCTTTTTTTTTCCTTACTAGTTGCATAACTAGATCTGTTTTTTTTTTTTTTTTTTTTTTTTTTTTTTGAAAAAAGAAAAGTAATTAATAATATAATAAAATAATAATGTAATATAATGTATTTTTTTTCCTTACTAGTCGTGTAAACAACAGGAGAGACCGTCCTATATAAGAAATGGATTTTCACAATTGATTTCAATTTTTTTTATACAGTTTAAAATACTTTTACAAGGGTATCATGTAGCCCATTC